TGTTCTGTGCAGTCACTAAACTCCTCAGCTTAGTGGTTAGCTAATAATGGAAAAGAGATTTTCTTAAATGCCTGGAACCAATATGTTTCCCAGTCATTGCAGAGAGGGTCAGTGTGAATTTTGGGGCATAGTTTTGACATTCAGCCAGGCAGCTGAAAACTCTGTCTTTACCTTCACTTCGTTCTTGCACAAAGCCTCAAGTCAGCCAAAGTTGACAGCTTAGGGCCTTTTCTGTTTTTTTTTGTTGAGCAGAGGTACAGTCCTCAGTATGGACTTGGTTTTCCAGATTCTCAGGACTACGTCAGAGATTTTCAAAGTCCCTATGAATAGCTCATTTCCAAGCTTATATTTTTAAGCTTAGTTTTTTTTTTTTTTTTAAGATTTTATTTTTTCCTTTTTCTCCCCAAAGCCCCCCGGTACATAGTTATATATTCTTTGTTGTGGGTCCTTCTAGTTGTGGCATGTGGGACGCTGCCTCAGTGTGGTTTGATGAGCAGTGTCATGTCCGCGCCCAGGATTCGAACCAACGAAACACTGGGCCGCCTGCAGCGGAGCGTGCGAACTTAACCGCTCGGCCACGGGGCCAGCCCCTAAGCTTAGTTTTAAATCTATCTACTGTTTTCTTAAATTGTTATCCAATACCTCAAGCATGTGTGAATTTTATCAGTTGTCTGTAATTGTTTTTGACAAATGCCAGTAGGGAAAAGGCTTTTCACAGTGGGCAAGTCCTGAATCAGCAAAATATAGACAGTCTTGCAAGTGGGATCTTACAGAGAATTACCAGACAAGTCAAATGATGACAATTTCCCAAGAATGAAGCTTTTAAAGAGCTCAAGTCCTCTCCTTCTTTCTCTAATGGCTGCCAGACTATTTGTTTTCACTGTGAATGTGAGCTGTTAATTTTTTTTTCTTTTTCTTCTTCTCCCCAAAGCCCCCCGGTACATACTTGTATATTTTCAGCTGTGGGTCCTGCTAGTTGTGGCATGTGGGATGCCACCTCAGCATGGCCTGATGAACAGTGCCATGTCCACGCTCAGGATCCGAACCAGTGAAACCTTGGCCCACTGAAGCGGAGGACGTGAACTTAAGCACTCAGCCACGGGTCTGGCGCCCAAGATGTTAATTTTTAAGGCTACCGCAAAGCTGAAAACTGGAGAATTAGACTAGTGGAAGCTAAAAGACTCCAAATACCATTTTTCTTACTGAAATTCAGCTATTTTATTGAAAAAAATGCTCCCCTGATTGTTGCAAAATTTTGGTGAATTTCTAGAGTGGTTAAAAATTTGATTCTGACAATTTTTGCTTTCTTGTTGCCTTTATGAAGGATAAAATTATAAGAGTTTCTTATTCTGCCATTTTTGCTATGTCACCAAGATATATTTTAATATAGTATTATCATTGTAAATACTATTGGAAGAAATATTACTGATATGAATAATTCTGGATCAAGAAGACATTTTAAAGTTAACAATTAGAAAAAAAAACAGATTACAACATATTCTCGATAAACATCAGTGTGGCAGTCAGCCTTTGAGATATCCCCAGTGGTCCTTGTCTCCTGGTTTTACTCTCTTTTGTGGTTCCCTTCTCCCTATACTGAGACAGCACTGATTTGTGTGACCAATAGAATAATGTGTAGGTGATGGTGTCTGACTTCTTAGGCTAGTTCATAAAATATGTTCCTACTTCCACCTTGGTCTCTTGGATAGCTTGTTCTTGGGAAATCTGGTTGCTATGTTGTGAGGAGCTGTGGAAAAGTCCCTGTGAGGAAGAATGAGTGCTCTGCCAAAAGCCAGCACTAATTTGCCAGCTATGTGAGTGAACCACCTTGAAAGTGATTGTCCAGCCCTGGTCAGAATTTCTAATGACTGTAGTCCTAGGCAACTCCTAACTAAGCTTATAATAAGCCTTTAGCTAGATCTGCCAGACCCAACTGTTGCCAAATGCTTGGCTAATAGAAACTGTGAGATAATAAAAGTTTATTGTTTCAAGCCACTAGATTTTGGTATGATTTGTTTCTCAGCAATTGATACAATAAGCAATTGAAAACATTTATCTACAAAGAAGCAAAAATCCTCAAGAAGAAATTAAAATATGTTTTCAAAAATTACCCCTGAGAAAATAGCACCCCCGAGAGTAATAGGGGCTCTTTTACGTCTACCAAACTTTCAAGGTTATGTTCAGAGCGCAAAAGAAGATTGCAGTTGTAACAACTCTCTGCTCATTTTCTGAAGATTAACTCCATTATCAAGATCTGAAAATGATCGAACAAATGAAAATCATAATCTCGCTTATGAATATGGATGCAAAGATTCTAAAAAATCCTACAAAGAAATGGAATATAGCACGATAAAGTTTTCCAGAAACGCATTATGTGTCCATAAAGCTACAATAATTTAGACCTAAAGTACTGGCATCAAAATAGAAATATATTAATGGAAAATAATTTTAAGAACTCAGAAACAGAACACATTACTCCTAATAGCAGTTATGAAATAGTCTATTCTTTCCATACTTAGTTGAAATGTTTTAATCTATATTATATATGTATATACTATATTAATCATATAATATATGCATATGTTGTATGTGTAATACTTTACACTATATATATATATATATATTATATTGAAGCATATTCTTATATTGAAGCAAAGCGTAACTATGTTTAATCCAAAAATAAATCTTAGCAATAACTCAGAAAATAACAAGTATCCTAGCTGTAAAATAATTGAAAACAGATAACAGGCAATTTAGAGGAGAAGAAATTCAAATGCCAATAGATATTTTTAAAGACCGAATTTAGGTGGTAATACATGAAATGCAAGTTTAAACAACCAGAGACAATACTTATTTTTAACAAACTGCCAAAGTTTTTCAAAAAGAATAGTAGCCAGTGTTAGGTTAGTTTGAGGGGGAAAAAGGCAAAAAAAACCCCCAATTTGACATGTTTTCTGGACATTATTTAGGCACTGCTATGTATGGTCTAAAAGTTTGTTTCCCCCATTTTTATATGTTGGAATCTTAATACCCAGCATGATGATGAGTGGGGTCTTTGGTAGATGGTTATGTCATGAGAGTGGAGTCCTCGTGAATGGGATTAGTGCCCATATAAAAGAGCAAAGGAGGCCTGACAGAGCTCCCTAGACCATTCTGTCATCTGAGGATGCAAAGAGAAGTCTGAGACCCAGAAGAGGGCCTTCCTCTGACCACGCTGGCATCCTGATCTTGGACTACCAGCCTCCAGAGCTGTGAGAAATAAGTGTTTGCTGTTTATAAGCCACTTACTCTCTGGTATTTTCTTTCTCTGCTTTATATCTTCATTCTCTCAAGCAGGAAGAAAAGAAATGAGTTACAAGGGAATTTGTGTTTATCAGTCTCTGGTAACCACTGTCCGTGGGGGCTGCTGCTCCAGCCTTTCCAGACTGTTCATCAAGAGGGAAGGTGGGGCCAGCCTGGAGTCAGAGCGGTTAAGTTTGTACTCTCCTCTTCAGCGGTCTGGGGCTTGTGCGTTCGGATCCTGGACGCAGACGTAGCACTGCTTATCAAGCCACGCTGGGGTGGCATCCCACAAAAATGAAGAAGATGGGTGCAGATGTTAGCTCAGGGCCAATCTTCCTTAGCAATAAGAGGGTTGGTGGTGGATGTTAGATCAAGGCTAATCTTCCTAAAAAAAAAATACAGGGCATCCAGGGAGAGAGGCCTCTGCCTGCAGTGGCCTGGGGCAGGGTAGGAGGCACAAGGAGAATAGCAGGAAAGCTCATTTAAATTCTGAAGATCTGAGTAAACATTTGTTAGTTGGCAATAAACGGGCTCCAGTGGGGACCTTCTTATCTTCGTGTTTATCTGTCCTTTTCTCATGCACAGTCACTTACAGTGGCATTTGTAGATATGAACAAAGTATTGGCCAAAAATGAGTAAGAAGAAGTGGTTCAGACTCAGCTGAATAGGGCAAGCCTAGGGCACGGGAATCCGGCTATCCTATTGACTAAGCTCTTTTCTAGCAGTTCTCTATCCAGACTAATCCTTGCACAGCTTCACGTTCATTCCTAATGAGACTGTTTCCACCTCCACCCACTTCTTCCCATTCAGGGAGCTCTGAACACAAAGGTACCCTGGGGTTGCCCTGTGAGGCTGCTCATCCTCCCCAGGACGAGACACTGCTCTTTTGGACATCCTGCTTCTGCAGGATATTAAGCACCATCCCCACTGGGCAGAGACAGTAATCCAACAGCATCATGTTTGAGAGCTGTGCTTTTCAGCAGGCTCTGGAGCATTTTTTGAAGCCAGCTTGAGAGCCCTTTTAAAATGGGCTTAGGATAGCATCTCCCTGTGTAAAAGTGTCTTTCACACGACTTCATCTAATTTTTCCTTTGCCTAGTAATAGGAAAATTTCTCTCAATTCTTTTCTTTCTCTTCCCTACCTACTTCCTGGCCCCCACTACAACTTAAAGCCCAGGAGCTCTCAAAATTTCCTGTGTGAAGAGTCAACATGCAGAATCAGCAAGCAAAACGTCTTGATTCTCAGGACCTATCTCAGGAGATCTGAAGTAAGTCCAGGAATTAGCATTTTTTAATAAGAATTCAGAGAATTGTCATGTGGGAGTCCTCAGCTCATATTCTGAGAGCACTATTTTAGCCTTTGCTGCTCAAATTTGATGAGTTATCAGTGATTGTATAATATTCTGTGATATTTTTGTTATAGCAGCCTGAATGGATTAAGACAGCCACAATATGTCAAATGTCTTAATGTTAACCCAGAAATTTTACTTAATCCTTCAATATGAACATTTATGTTATTATTGCTTATTTGTGTTTTCTTTATATATGTATTACTTTTAGCAAAAGACATTAAAAAATCTTACAAATTTTGTTTGTCCTTTCTACTAGGAGGAAGTGAGCAGTTTGCTGCATAGATGTTATATCATTTTTCTTAGGAAGAATCCATGAGTTAATTTTGGTGTCAGTTTGTCTCATCACCTTTGGAAGGTGCTACATACCTGCAAATAGCGGACCACTCGGCAAACCAGATCAGGGGCCATGAAGTCTCCAGTGAATCGCCAGATGATATCGGTCAAGATGTTGACCAGTCCTGTGAAAGAGTCTAACAAAAACACGCAAGTGGTTAATTTCAGTCTTTTCCAGATTTGCAGCTTTGCCATAGCAGAAATGAATTTCTGGGGAAATGTTTTTTCAGATTTATCAGATGGCCATTGAGGAAAAGTAAGGCAAGGCAGGACTTGTTTGACTTTTATGACTGGAGCCTCATTACCACTCAGATGTAGCCACCTAGGAAGGATTTTGATAACGACTAAAGGAAAATCATACTAATCATAGAGTGGACCTTTCAAGTCACAGAAGAGGAGTTTTAAGGGGATTTAGACCTGTACTAAAACAAGGACTGTGTGAATTTCAATAAAGGACAAAATAGAGAACAAGAAAATATGTGTCTTTGAGAATAATTCCTCAAATTCCACTTTCTGCACGCATTGTTTTACAACTTGAATCTCTAGTTACCTCTCTACCACCGAATTCCAATCCTCCCGCCCCCAGGATCCTCTGCTTTCTTCTCCTTTCCCCTTTCAACATCTGCCCTTGGAAAAAGTCAACTGCATGAGCTATCATTTTAATTAACTTAGTTGGTTAAACCACAGAGGAACTGAGGTCGAGATCTGAGACCAAGATCAGAGACTATGAGCTCCTATGATCCTCTTTACTTAATTCTATAGTTACAGACTATGTAAGTTGTACAGAGGTCTATAGCAGAAATGGTAAAATATGTTATATGTCTAGAAGCTTCCTCTCACCCTTCCAATGCAAATATTACAATTGATCATGTGATCCAGAATCTTTCTCAAAACAGTGTTGTAGGGGTTCTCTGCTGATTGATGGATAGGACTGAACCTTAAGGCTGGATAGCAAGAATTCATTGATTTGGGTCACTTTCTTGGGACATGGGATATAGCGCTCTGTCAAGGACCTGAGAGGCAGGGAAAACTCATTGCTAGGGTAGCTGTTAGAAGGCTGGAGAGAGTGATGGTCCTTCACAGACAAAATGGAAATGCCTGAGTTGCCCTAGCAAGCAGTAGAGAAAAGAATAAAAAGTCCGAGGGAAGTGGTCATATTGTATTGGATATATTATGTGAAGCCAGAAGAACAATTAGAGAATTATCTTCCATGGAAAGGCTCAGAAGACACATTATTCATCAAGGACACCAGGAATGCACTGGTGAGAGGGGCACCAGCATTAGGCAGAAGCTCAGTGGTGACTCCTATCTGCAGGCCAGGGTGAATGGTAGGAGAGGTGGTCATGGAGCCAGCTCTTGTAGCACTATTGTTAGTATGTACTGTACAGATTCTCCTATTCTTTTCCCAAAGAGACCTATGGCCATTTATTTAGGAGACTGTACACCGGGGAAGAAAGAATATCTAAACATTTTGAGGACTATGAGGCACAAAGTCTACGTTGATATGATACCTAGATGCTGAAGCGTCATTACGGCTGCACTATAAGAGTGGAATCTTATAGGACCAGGTGATAATTAGAATCCTGGCTGCAATGGAATGGTCCGCTAGATCTGTAGGCCTTCCGCTGGTCGTTTCTCTAGTCTGTGAATGTCTGATTGGGATTAATATCTTTGGCAGTTGTAATAACTCCATACTGGTTTCCTCATTACAGTGAGGAAGGCCAAGTGGAAGTCCTCAATTTACCAGTTTTGTCCCTGCAGAAACTGGCTGGATCTTGGAAAATGACTGTAGACTGCCAGAAGCTCAAAGAAGTAGTAGCCCTAATTGCAGCAGCTGTACCAGGTGTGGTATCTTTGCTAGAGTACATTAATATGGCCTCAGGTACATGACATGCAGATATTGATTTGGCAAAAATGTGTTTTTTTTTTTTTTTTAATCTGACCAGAAAAGATTAGAAAGAGTTTGCATTTACATGAAAAAGACAACAATATTCCTTTACTGTTTTGCTCAGGTCTGTGTTAACTCTCCCATCCTCTGTCATAATAAGGACTGAGGAGGCCTGGACTATCTGGACATTCTTCAGAACATCCCATTGATCCATTCACATTGATAACATCATGTTATTGGGCAGGACAAGAGTTGTCTAGTATGTTAGAGGCCCTGATAAGACACATGTACACTGGAGGGTGGGGGATAAACCCTGTGAAAATTATGGGATGTGCCACATCAGTAAAGTTTCAGTGGTCCAGTAGTGAGGAACAGCTAGAATACTCTTCTCCCCAAAGCAAAAGAGAAATTGCTGCGTTTCAGGCCCCTATCTCAAGAAAGGAAGCACAATACCTGGTGGGCCTCTTTGAGTTTTGGAGGCCCCACATTCCAAATCTAGGAATATTGCTCTGGCTCATATACTGAATGACATGGAAGTTTGATGGCCTTGAGTGGGCCTGGAGCAGGGGAGGAGGCTCTGCAACACATGCGGGAAGACCATTTATTGGTCAACATGAGGGATACTATTTATTGTGGCCAATCCAGCTACTGCTGTCTTTGAACGTCCAACTTGCCAACAATGGAGACCAACACTGAGCCCCAGTGTGGTACTATTTCTCGAGAAGACCTGATTACTTTGTGACAAGTCGAGTACATTGGGCCCCTTCCATCCTGCAAGGGATAGGTGTCCTTCCTCTCAGAGATTTACCTATTCTGGTTATGAACTTGTCTTCCCTGACCTCTGAGCTGTAGTCAACACCACTCACCACCCTCTAGACAATTTCAGATTGCCCACTAGGAATGGAATCCCATACAACATAGTATCTGATCAGGGGACTCACTGCATAGTGAAGGGGGCGTAGGATTGAACCCATGATCGTGAAATCCACTGTTTACATCACATAGTGCACCACCCATAAGTAGCTGTTGTCCTAGAGCACTGGATTGGACTATTGAAGGCACAGACGAAGTGCTAGCTTAATGGCAATACTTGAAAGGATGGAGTGCTATCCTTTCAAATGTTGCATATGCATTAAATCAGAGGCCTCTTTATAGTAACACGTCATTCACAGGAGGTATACATAGGTTTGAGAATCAAAGGGTAGAAGCAGGAATAGCCTCACTTAACATCACTCCCAGTCACCACCCCCCGGGGAGTTTTGTGTACCTCTGTGCTCTTCAGGCTGGCGATCTTAGTCTCAAAAGGAAGTGCGATCATGCCAGGGGACATAGCAAGGATCCCTTGGAACTAAAAGCTATGGCTGTCATAAGGGCACTTTGGACTCCTTGTGTCTGGGAACCAGCAGTCAAGGAGAGTCACCAGTTTTGCAAGAGTAAATGGCTGTGATCAGCAGATGGAGGGAGAACTGTGTCTACGCAATGAGGGAAAGGAAGGTATGGGTGGAACACAGGTAAGCTACTTGAAACTCTGAAGTTAAGATTGACTGCAGACAATCAGTGGATGCGGCCAGGGATGCTAAGCATTCTGCAGCAGGCTCTCAATGGAGTTGTGCAGATTATTCATGCTCTAGGGTGCCATGCCTTGTTGTGGTAGGAGGGTGAGTGGGGGCTGAATTTGAGTTGTCATTATTGTCATGAAGATATGCACCCTGGCTTTGGGTTGTGCAAAGACACGCGAATGTCAGCTACATCCTGGATGACACATGGACTGTACCCTTTAATAAATTGTTCGGATCAAAATTTCAATCGTGGCTTTGTTGAGAAACACTGCTAGGCTTTATGGGAGAGAGTTTGTGGTTTTGTGCAATTCTACTCAGACAGAGGATTGGGCAGAACCTTACTCAGAAATTAAGAATATGCACTCAGCTAGATGTAGGCTCTCAGAAAACTGAACAGCTGAAAAAAAAAGAAACTCCAACTTTGGGGATGAAGCTAGGACATTCACAATTCCATTTCCAATGATTGGTTTTTATTGCTGGGTTTCTGCTAAAGAGAAATAGCAAAAACTGAAAATCATGCTGTCGTTTGGTTAATTCCTTTTGTGAACACTGGAAAATGAGGTTTGTTAATATTGGAACAGAAGGAGCCCAGCTTCTTGAGCAGAGTATGGAATGTAGTAGGTCCTCAGCACATATTTGTCAAAAGAATTGTTACTGTAGTTTGAAAAAGTCACCATGGCTTTTTTTTTTAATTTTGGAATAATTAAAGACTCACAAGAAGTTGCAAAAATAGAGAAGTTTCATGTACCCATCACCCAACTCCCCTCAATGTTAATATCTTATGAAGCTAGAGCTGGTTCTGTGCTTTAAAGGAGAATTACTACTCTTAATTCAGGCTTCTGTACAACATTGGGCATGAACTTAAGGGATGTTATTAAGCAGTTATTATATCCTTGGCAAGATTCTAAGTATTTAAAGTATCTAAAGATTTTTTAATCTCGCAAAAAACTACAAGATAAGTTCCCCGTTTTATGGATGAGTAAAATAAGTGAAGTTAGAACATTTTCCTAAGATTTCGTAGCAAGTTAGAGGTGAACCCGGGCTTGTAACCCAGACTCTTCGATGCCAGTGTCTGTATCTTCCCTTCCTTCCTTCTTTTCTTTTTCTCTTTCTTCCCTCGTTCATTCCCTACTTCCTTCTTTCCTTCTTTCATATCTTCTTACTTTTCTTTCTAATTCTTGTTATATCTGTTCTCTTTTACTCCCCAGACTAGTGTGCAGGAAAGAGTCCCTGTCTTCTTCCCTTGAGCTTATTCCTGGCCTGGCTCCCTTTTATTTATAGGGCTGCTCACCCACAGAAGTTTCTTTTATTCCTCTAGAGAAACTGGGGAGGCAAAGCTTCCCTTTCTAAATCTTCACTGTTAGCAGGATAAGGCCTCAGCCTCCTGGTTTAGCAGAAAGGCCTTCCATGATCTGGCCTTGCCTCCCTCTTGCCGAGGCCCCATCCAGCATTTTTATATTGAACATCATATTCATCACACATTTGTATTGTCAGATATACGTTTCCTCTGCTTGGAATGGCCTCCCTCCATGTATTAGCCTATTGAATTATTTGCTTTCAATATCTAGGTGACATATCCCCTTCTCCAGAAGCTTTCCTTGACCATTCACACGTTACGGTCCACCCCAAAACAGTAGGTGGCCCTCCCAGTTTTATGTCTGTCTGTCCCTTCCTTTTTGTTTCTCTATAG